TGTACACTATGAACATTGCTTCAATCGGGTTGGATTTGAGAACATAGCTAATGTTTGGTTGCCAGATGCACATTCGTCACTAGTTTCGGACGAACATTTAACAGGTCCACAAATGTTCCTTTCAATTCCCCACATGGACATGTTTACAGTGGCCATGACCAACAATTTATATTGTATTAATAACATTACATTACTATGACAGAAATTACAGAATGTCTTTCTGTTTCCGAACTGTCCACGACGTGTTAAGTTATCACATTATGGCACCATCCCTGAGTGAGTTATTGTGTGCCTTCACAATTTTTCTCGCAACATCAAAAAAAAATAATCAAAAAATCCCCTCACAAGCTTATAAATCACGATTTAGCAGCAGCAAACCCTCGGTTCCTCTATAGAAATACGTAAAATTGAAAGCCTGTCCGAACATTCCCGCGCGCTCCGCAATCTTATACTAAATCTAGAACCCCTTCCCGCGTTTTGAAAGTTGCAACCAGAAAGTGGTAACCCATTTTTTGTAAGATATTCGTTGTTTATTTTTGAATTAGGAGTTCCCTGCTTTTTTCCTAATCCATTTTTATCACCGAACCGTCCCATTTTCATTTTGATTAATTACTATTAATTTTGAGATTTGAGATTTTAGAGAAAAGCAGATGCGTTTTTACACCCTTACAACGAGTAAACCTTGTTCGGACCATGTCCAAGTGCTTCTTACACGGTGTATGAACAGAACGCCTAGACGTAGACCAGCACATCACACGGCGTTCAAACACGCGTAAAACGCTCCACAAAGTGCTTCAACGACCGAAGGTCTAGGAAATACCAGATAAATTAGAAAAAAGCTTCGGTATAAGCAACAATGTGTTTCCTTAATTGAATTGCGCAAAACTCTCTTTTCCTACGAATGCCTAGCTTTAACAGAGCGAGTAAAACTCACGTAAAACGTTGATTTGCTCAAAGGGTTGCTCTAACGCAGTGGTAAAAACGCTCCAGCGTGAGTACCAAACACATTTTGTACTCCACCCGTGTTTTGTTGATAAAAGACGCCCTTCCTAGCCATCGAATGGATTCTGTTGTGATGATTCCTCTTTACAGAGCGGAGGAGGCTCGACTCGACTTGTGTGTCCCTGGGCGCCTAAACATTTTGTCAGTAAGCCCGCTCCTGCCCAGCTCGACCACACGCATGCGCCTTCTCGTTCCTCTGGCATGCTGGACATGTGCATCTGCTTTCTGTATGTTAGCTCCGACGCATGACTACACATCTTGTTTTGTTGTTGTTTTTGTTTTTGTTTTGTTTCTTTTTTGTTTAGCACAAATCTTATACTGTGTGTTAATTTGATTTGTCGTTGAGTGACGTACTGTATAGGAGCACTTATGGCGTACGATTTGGGGTGTGCAAAGATACAGATGAGTGTTATGCACATATTTCTCGCCGCTCAAATCAGTTCAAAAAAATATATAACAAGATGCTAAAAATGATAAATTCATAACAAGAATATTATCTCAATCACGTCAACGACCCGTGTTTTGCAGAGCATGAATGTCAATTGCAAAACCTGCAGACAAAAAAAAAGCATCAGTTTACGACGAGATATGTGACAATTCTCTTATATCATTGTTAAGAGGAGACTGACTTAAAAATTGCCTGTTTACAGACGAGGATGAGGAGCCCCGCTACGTGCAGCTCACAAACCAGCACAAAGGTGCCATCAGGGCAATTAGAAAGGTAAGACTATGGGTGTTTTTATCAGTGTATTCCAACAAATCCGACCATCGCTTAAAGCTATGATACTCGCAACTACAAAAAAATGATCGCGAACTCACTGATAATTCAAGTGAATCCGTGGGAAGGCAACAACGAAAAGAATGCCAGTGCACTTTAAAATGGGTGATCCCGCTACAGTTCGAACTTAGAGAGGCACTAGGTGCAATAGGTACGCAAATATAAGCATTGGTCTCGAAAACTAAAAGACCGATCGAACAGCGGTTCAGAATTAGAAACAGCCTCGGGTCGCTTACAAAATTAACCTTATAAGTGACGTAAATTTTCGACCAAATTTTGAACAGTGAGTCTATTTAAACAAAGGTGCTATCTAATGCCTTTTAAAGGCGTTAGTGAAATAGTGCCTCTAGATAGGTACTACTGCCCCCCATAGGTGCTATTTTTGGCACAAATCGTGCCTCAGACCCGCCAAAGACACTAGAGCAGTAGCACCCCTAAAAATTCAGTAGCACCCTAAAAAGGGTGCTATATAGCGCCTTTGTTTTTCCAGTGAAAACGCGGTCCCATGGGGATATGAAGCGTCAAATATATTTTTTAATGATTTAATAACATCGAGAGATGTATTTTATGCATATACGAGAAAAAAAATCAAAGTCGATGTGGGACAGGGTGTACTAAATCCTCACGTGTGAGAATTTCCGATAGCTTGAAGAACAAGAACAAAACAGGTTTCATCTTCAGCAAGAATTGCGAGATCTGTTTAATGAGTTTAAACAGAGAAAGTATGCAGGCAGAAGTGTGTAAAATTGTTTCGCACAAATCTGCATCTTTACGCACAGGGTGCACTCAGAAACAGTATATACCATCGTCTGAAGATACTTTTGCCCACTGGGGTGACTGTGGCACTAATCCTGAATGGTTGTTTCAAACAGGTTACCCGTAAGGCAGAGTCCCTTTAGGTTTTGTTTCGAAGCTGGAGGTATAATGTTTCTCGATCGCTTCATTACCACGCGGCTATAAATCCCAATCTGGCACACAACCCAACCAAAACTTGATCTGAGCTATAAAGTTTGTCGCAAAATGAGCCTTTATAAACCTCAAATGCATTAGAGGGAATCGTTACAAAACATTTATAAGTACACCTCCAAAGTAAGGGAGTGGACTCTCCACAGGGGGTTACTTTTTCCACCGCAGTTCTATTGCAATTCCGACCAAAAATTCAAATCTCTTGCAATACTGTTCCTCAGGGGCTCATGTTGAAAAGTGGGCAAAAGTAACTCCAGACGACAGTAAGGGTTTTGTGTGTAATCTCAGCATCTTCTTTTGTGTTTCGTTGAGCTTTTTACAATGGCACTTCAGGTTTTTTTTCGTAATGCCCAAATAAACGGAAATCAAACTTCATTTTTATAAGTACTACTTTACAACTACACGACACGTTGTATAACTAAGGTAGACAATTTCATTTAATCACGCTCACACATTTTCTCTGTTTCCCTCCCAGATAAAGTATTATGTAGCTCGCCGCAAGTTCCGGGAAGCGCTCAAGCCGTACGATGTCAAAGACGTGATAGAGCAGTACTCGGCGGGTCACATCGACCTGCTCGGCAGAGTTAAGAACGTCCAGATGAGGTACATCACACACCTCAGAGGAAAACCGTAACTAACTGATGCCACTTCAGTAACAACGAACAAACCAAAAATAGTTTTTACGACTAACGTCATATACTCATTCCTGTCGTTATGAGGACATGAACATTTTTTAATATGGGTCCAACACTTAGTCTCGTACGGTTTGCCTTAAATTAGTCTTGGATCACTTCTTCTACTCACTGCATCCACACAAATCAAAAAATAACCACGGAATCAGAATTCTTCTTTCTTCTATCACTCCTCTGGAACTTTATAAAATTAGTTCAGCCTGCTTCATTTTTTTTGTTCTGAATTTCTTGCAATAACCTTTCTTTTCACCAAATCCGTAGAGTGAGAGTACACGTTAGTTTGTTAACGTTTTATTTGGACTGTTACGATGAATCAGCATGAGGTCAACAATTGGTGCATGTGTTTAAAACAATAAAATAGGAAGATTCACTCAACTAGCACTTGTAGAGTCTCGACATTACTACTCTTTAATGAAAATCCCAAGAAGTATATATATAAAAATCCTGGCCTATTTCGAGAACTGAAGATATGGCCGAATTGGCTGAGCGACGGCGAAGCCTATACCTTAAGTGGTCCAAAATGTTTCGACATTAAAAATTTAGGATGGCTTTCTTTTCTAATGAGCTAAAACTGTACTGAGTTTCAGCTCTCTACCTAAAACAAAACGGTCAAAACCAGCCCATGGGAAAAATCAATCGAAAACTATGCAAATTGTGCTTTTTGCCCGACCCGGGTGTCAGTGCCGAAGGCATAGGTAGATAGTACGCGAGGCAAGTCGCAGCATAACATTGTTTTTTGAGATATCGCGACGCCTGTAATGCAGGATGTGGTCTGATATACATCTACCTAGTCTGAATTAGCATGTCTGGTTCTGGTCACCGGTCACAACGTGCTGTCAATGCTCCCCTAATAATGAAATTACTTGAACGCTTGAATAAAATGTTGTTGTGTCTCTTGGTGATTTTTGGACAGAAGAAAGCAAGAGAACCACTCAATGTGCCTGGAAAAGGAGCTGTCAATTTACTGACAACAAAGTTCTTTGTTAAAACTTAGCACTCAATCAAAGAATGGTACATTCAAACACAATTCGCAACTATACCCATTGTTGTATAAACATTTGTTTATCAAATAAACGTCGCGAAATGTCGTGATCTTGATAAAAAGGAAGTGTCGATACGATTAGTACCATTGGTATCATGATATTGTTGGATAACCACAACAAATTTTCAACGAGTTAGTCCTTAACAAGTAAGGCTACACTGTAAAATGTGGGTGTTCTGTGGGTCACCGCCTTAGTGGCTTGCACCAATAAATTACGCGCCTTGTGTCGTTTGGTGAGAGGACACCGTAGGCTTTCTGACCGAGCACGCCTTAGGCATTCTCTCATAGCACATCTTGAGCAAAATACATAGCATTGACCACACAGGCTTGCACGAGCTGTTTCGCCACTGACCCTTTTCGATTCACGGGGTGTGCTGGGCCGGCACACCCCTTGGCTGTGGCAGTGGCAGGCCCAAGATGTGTAGCAGCAGCACACCCCGCCCAGTTGCTTAGGCGCAGCTCGTGTAAGTGTATGTGGCCAACGCCATGCGTTTTGCCTAAGATGTGCTATGAGAGAACGCCTAAGACGTGCTCTGGCAAAACGGCTAAGGCGTTCTACCGCCAAACGACACAAGGCGCGTAATTTTTGGGTGCAAGTGAATAAGGCGGTCTCCCACCAAACGCCTAAGGCGCGCCATCTCGGAACGCCCAATTTTGCAGTAGTGCAGTCTCTCAAAAAGGTCGAAAACTGTCAATTATTATCACCTCTGCTTCCCCACCTGTTTGTCTCTCTGTCTCTCTCTCCCATATAAAGAATTCTCTCATCCTCTCCTGTCTATGGTGCACCAATTCTTTCAAACGTTAACGCTTATAGAACCTGATATGATGGAATGTTTTGTGGCTAAATGTTTATTGGATTGCATCGCTCCACTCACTCTCACTCTCCTTTCGCATTGCCAACTAACCGCTGATGGTGATGGTGTCGTAATAAAACACGCGCTTCCCTAGCTACTGTAAGTGCAATGAAAAGAAGCAAGAGTGTCTTAGAATTAGCTGCCGCGGTATTCTTCCAAACTACCCCCGCATAACACCTGAAGGACGTTTTAGCAATATCTTCCA